ATTAAATCTTGAATATTCATGCTGGCATTTAAAAACCTGCTGCTGCTGTGTTACAACCTAGTATTAAGAAATGTGTTTCAGCTCTCCTTCAGGGAGAATGAGTAACAGCACATTAAATCAAAGCTGTTGCTTATCAAAGAAAGCCAGCACAAAGAGAAAGAAAAACTGTAGGAAGTGGGTGAGGGTGGATTAAGTTCCCGATGACATGAATGTTTTATTGATCTAGAGCCTGGAGAGGCTAATATTCAAGCCATGATGACTGTCTTGAGACATCAAGCATCCCCTTTACTTACAAGTCCCATTGGGTAAACAGGCCATTGATGAGAGATGTCATTTTGTAAAAATCTTTCTCGTGTTGGTTAACGAATAAAGCACTGTTGGCCAATAGGAAAGCAAGATAGGTGGGACTAGGAGATAAGGAAGATTCTGGAAGGAGTAGGGAAGAAATTCGCGATGGAGGATAGAGAGAATAATGCCGGGGCCTCTCTCTGGTAAGATGAGACCATGTAGAAATACTTAGATTAATAGAAATGGGTTAATATTTAAGACAGAGCCAGCCAATAAGAAATGTTAGTAACAGGCCAACAGCTTTATAGAAAATACAGAGTCTCTGTGTGTTATTTGGGGCTGGCACAACTATGGGACCAGAACGGCGAGGAGAAAACCTAATCATAACAGGCCATTGAATCCCAGATGACGGAGGCAGAGTTGAAAGAAATGGATCAGGGCTACCCATCAAGAAACAGAGCAGGTAAATAGATACGCCTTCCAAATATTTATGGCTATGTATAGCTTACTGCTGCTCTGTCACTTGGCCAGAGGAGCCCCTGAGTGGTACAACACAGTGGTGACACTCATAACTGGTCCAAGTGCTGAGATGAAGTGACTGTTGAATGCGCAACTGATGCATTCCCATCAAGGCCCAGGGAATATCACAGACTAGGAGCAGAAAGAGTGTGAGCGCGCTGGCAGGTAGGCAAGAGTGCTGACTGCAAAGTGCTGCCTTCCGACAGGATGTGGCCCTTCCACTAGTAACATCACTGCTGCTATAGTTTCCCCACACAATGCTCGCACAGGTGAAGCCAACAAGATTCTAGCAGGAAGCACTAATGGGCTCAGTGGATTACAACAAAAAGTAAGGACATGATGATGAGAGGGGTTGTCCCGGGGTGAGAAAGAAGGGGCAGCTGGAGTTGGCCTATTAGAGACACAGTGTAAATACAGGAAACTGTCAAAGAAGAAATGTGACACTTTTGGAAAGAAGTACAGCAGAGAAATGAACAGTTAACTGGGAACCTGATTCGGATATAAGTTCTTCTTCTATAGACAGAAGAGTGGAAACTGACTCTGCATGGCATGCTTGCTTGAGATATAAGCATTATTGGCCCTTTGTAGTGGACTCAAATCCTAGAGGTTCAGGCCAGTGTTTCTCCACGTAGAGCTATTGACATTTTAGCTCAATAGTTACTTGTCATAGGGGATACAAATTCTTGGGCTTTACCCAAGTGCAGTGTAAACTGGGCCAATGATCTAATACAATTTGTTCCTTCGATGTGCTTGCTTCTTTTTGTTGTTTTCCTGGGGGATTACAGTGGCAGATGGGCACACTTTATTATGCTAGATTGTTTTTGCAGGAATGCTGAGAACCATGTACATTTCCACTAGAAGTGTTTGCAAATAGTCTTTTTCTAGCAGTATTTTGTTATGCTTTCTTTTGGCCAATCTGGTAGGCAAGCAGTGATTTATTTATTTATGTATATATTTGCTTTTTTTTTCTGAGACAGGGTTTCTCTGTGTAACAGGTCTGATTATCCTGGAAATCTGTAGACCAGCCTGGCCTCAAACTCAGAGAGCCGCCTGCCTCTGCCCCCTGAGTGCTGGGACTAAAGGCGTGTGCCCCCACTGTCCAGCAAGAGGTGATTTTTCATTTTGAAGTCTGAACACCTTTGCAGTAGTGAGCATCATGTGTGAAATAGTCTCATGGACTCGTCTATCTAATAAATGTGCATTTACCCACAGAAAGGACTGTAAAAATCTAAAATGGTCATGGTGCGATGGCTGGCTGACCCTGAGAAAAACAGATGTAGTTGAGGCCTGAGAGCTGGTTGCAGCAGAATTCCTTCTTGCTAGGGAATGGTCAGTGTTCTTGTTCTATTCAGTCTTCAACTTCTGAAGTCTATTCACTTCTGTAAATGTAAACTTCAAAGAGACACAGGAACATCTCAAGCAATACATGAATAAATATATGGGAACTTTGGCCCAGTTAAGTTCCTGTGAATACTTTTTCTGTTCAATGGTCTATATTCTTTTATTTACTTTCAAATCAGGAATATTAGTCAAATCAGTGTGTTGCCAATATCTTCTCAAATTTCATATCTTTTATTTTTTTTGACATGATTTCTTATGATATATACTTCCTTTTGGGGCTTGTTTGGTTTTTGAAACAGGATCTCACTGTGTAGCTCAAGCTGGCCTGGAAATCACTCTGTAGAGGTACTCCTCCTGCCTCAATCTCTCAAGTACTGGAAGTACAGGCCACTATGGTCAGCAGCACATAACCTTTTAAATTATTGATTTAATACTTTCTGATAAACAAGTAATAGACTCACTAAAATTTAGATGAAAATTATAGAGGGCACGTGATGTTGTCAATCTGACAATCATTTTGAATTTCTAATCTTCTAAGTTGACCTTAGAGGACTTTTTGGCATTTATTGAAACTCTGCATATGAATTGAAAGTGCTTGGAAGAAGTTGAAGTGAGGCCCTTAGCCCTTTTCCAGGAAAGGAATCCAGATCAACATCTCTATATGTGAAAAGCAGCTGTTGAGAGAGGCACAAAGTTCAGAGTCTTTCAAACATAGGCGACTTGTGGTTGATCCTTAGAAACAGTTGAATGCACCTCAGAGGTTAATGTTATAAAGCTTTGCAATATAAGGCATCAGTTTGTATACAGATACAGAAAAATTTCCTTCAAATTTGTTTAAAATGTAGTCTAAGCCAGTGGTTCTCAACCCTTATAATGCTGAGACCCTTTAATACAGTTTCTCATGTTGTGGTGACTCCCAACCATAAAATTAATTTCGTTGCCACTTCACAACTGTAATTTTTCTTTGTTATGAGTTATCATGGAATAATAAGGATCGGGAAACACAGATAGGCTGAATAGATTTTCATTCAGGAGAAATAACTTACAACAGAGACAGATGAACACCAGCAGGTTCCCATCCTAAGGATGCCTCTGGATACTCTGTCTCCATCCAGCAAGCAAAAGAGTGCTCTGGGACCACTACTTCAGACCTAGTTCCCCCAGGTCACATCTGCCCCCATCCCTAATGGGCGTGGTCAGTATAACAGGTGCAGACAGAGTGAGTATCTCACTACAACGAGTTATAAACTAAATATCTTTGTTTTCCAATGGTGGTTTTTCCAATGAAAAGGTTGTTTGACCCCTAAAGGGGTTGAGAAACACTGGTGTCAAGCAGTTGAACTATTATACTAATTTTCTCTGTTTTACCAAGCATGTGTCAGCACTCTCTCCTTTAAACCATAATAGAAAAGTCTAGCTAACTTTTAATCTGAATGAGAATATGCATATGTATTGAGGAAAACTTTCAGCCTTTCAACTTTATGTAAAGGTTTCTTGATTCATTTAGTTTTATATTACTTATTGTCGTGACTACTAGCATCATAGTACCTTCCTATATTTTAATCATATTATGTTCATCAAGGGCAAAAATTGTGTAACATACAACTTTTATAGTCTTCAGTATACAGTTATATTTAATGTTAATTTTCAATTAATGTATTCATCTTTTGTGTTAGATTTATTTTTAAATAGAAGCTTTCATTTCTCATGTGGAGAGTTAGTCCCTCCCTTTTCCTGGCTGTGATACCAGATGCTATAAGATTATTGACTCCTGTAATGCAAGTAAAATATTTTTTTTTTAATTCACTCACCTTCTAGACATACAGGTCTAGTTTTTAGCTCATATCTAGATGCTTGGTTGACAGCATTGTTGATTTTTGTTGTTGTTTTTAGTTATGTGAAAGAATAACTCATTTGAAACTGGAACAATTTTATTGTTGGGTTCTAATATTTTCCTTTGGAAGTGTGGCTAACAGTATTGATATGAAAGCATCTCTAAAAGATGACCCACAGAGCCTTAGACTTATTAATTATTCATATTCTTACATTATTTATACTATTTTGAAAGAATGCATATCTTTGGAAAGATGAGTTAATTGATTTTAAATATGAAGGTTGAAGCTGGGTGTGGTGATGCACACTTTTAATCCCAGTATTCTGGAGTCTGAGGCAGGCAGGGCACTATGACTTTGAGGCCAGCCAGGTCTACGTAGCAAGTTCCCGGACAGTGGGGGCTACATGGTGAGAGACCAGGTCTCATAAAACCAAAACAAATAATTAATCTTGAAAAGACTCCTAAAATCAGTCTGGAAGGTGAGAGACTCACAATAATCCTCGAATGTATATATATTTGATTTTCGAAACCATGTCCCTCTTCGTAGCCCTGGAACTAACTCTGTAGATCAGGCTGGTCTCGAACTCACCGACTTCTGCCTGCCTCTGCCTCCCGAGTGCTGGGATTAATTATGGTTATTCTCTATCTCCCCTCCCGCCCTCCCTTCCTTCCTTCTCTCCACCGCTCCGTCCCCCTCCCTCTCTCCCTTTCTCCCATTTCTGCGGGGTCTCTAGAAATAAACTATCCTGTTGCTGCACGTCGCTATTTGGTCGGACAGAACTACAATTCCCAGCTTGCTGTGGACCTCCGCGGTTGCAGTGCACCCTGGGAAGCAAGTGTCCCGTCCCACCCTCTCACACCCACACCCATTGGCTACGCGCGCGTGCCGCGCAGAGACCACGCCTCTCTGGTCTGGATTCCCCGGAACTTATTTTTGCGTCTCCGACGTTGTGAGCCGGCGGGTTTAGAGAGCAGTTCCACTTCCGGCGCCGCCGCCGCCGCCGGAAGCAACTTCGCAATGGCATCTCCTGCGGAGGAGCCTGCCAGAGCAGCCCGAAAGGGTGACTCTCGCCCGCAGAAGCAGAGGCGCGAGGACCAAGGTGAGGCAGCGCGAGAGGCGGAGGCGGTGGCCCGTGGCCCGTGGAGCAGCGCCTTGCGGTCTGCTTGGCCGAGGACGCGGGTGAAGCCGCCCGTAGGCTGCTGCGCCTGCGGTTGGCGTTGCTGGTAGTTGCGGGTGCTGAGCGCGCCGGGCATGTGTTTGACTCCGTGCTTGTACCCGGGGGCCGCCCCCGACCAGCAGAGCTGGCCGGACTGCGTGCTGTCCCATTCTGTCCCCGGCAAAGGCGTGGGCACTAGGACCTTTCGGAAGGCGAGGCGGCACTTTGCGGCGCTCTGGGGGTGATGGAAGGTGCTGGAGAGGATGGCGATTGGGATCAGGTGGGAGAGAGAATGCTGTGTATGTACCCGAGGAGCGAGGTGGGAAGTTTGTGAGAACTTTTATCGGATTGCTAAATTACTAGATGGCACAGCCCAGTCTATAGTTTGATTTGTAATGCCGGAGTTGGATTGGTCTCGTGCGTTGTAATTTTTTTTTTAAACCTGCCTTCAATATGAAAATAGTTCGCCAAGAAATAGGTTATGCTTTTTTAATTGTTGCGTTTAAAAACTTAAGAACGTAAAGTATGGCAGGGAGTATAGATATTAGTAAAAGATCAAACCAACGCCCCAGGAACTGACAGTCAGACTCGTAGGAAGAGTTCACAAGTTTCCCATATGCCAATCACAGGGGATATTTTCCCTAATGGTACCCGGAGTAACTGGTCTGAATCATTCGAGTTTGCCGCTGCCTTCAGCCATTGTCATTTTCAACACAGTGCTTCCGTTTTGCCTCAGCAGAATGAAGGAACCCGTATGCCTGCATTGTCTTTTAGCTTCTCTTTGGGTATTTAACCAAGGTGATGTTTGTAGGTGTGATGTTTTTGTTTTCGCTGGGACACTTTTAAATTCTCCCTTTGGTGGGCATTTGGGTCCCGCCCACTGCTTGCTGTCGTAAACATCTTTGCACAAGTCTCCTGCTAAGACCCAAGGGTTCTTAAAGGGGACATAGGGTTGGAAACTGAATTGTGTTCTTCCCAGGAGGAGCTGTGCCAGGGTTCTCTGTTTTAAGGAAAGGTTTATTTAGGCTCACGGTGTGAGGGTACATACAGTAAGCTATGGTAAGGAAGCTAAGGAAGCTGTACCCTCCAGTATGGCTCACTAAGAGGTGAGATTTCTCATTGCTCCAAATATATAGTAATCTTATTTCTGTTTTGAAAATGTGCTGTTTCGCAGACAAGTTGTATCTCATTGTCTTTCATTGGGCTTCCCTGATGAAGTTGCACAGTATCACGTGTCCAGGGACTATTGTGCCTCCTCTTGTGAAACCATCTTTCACTTCTTTGAAGGATAGATGTAATATTTTCTTTAAATCTTACTAAATGTTAATGAACTAAATGTTAACTGTGATTCTTATTTGATAACTGTTGGGTGAAGTATAACTATGTGTAGCTATTGGATTTGAGTGAGTTTTAAGAAGTGATACAGGGCTCTCCAGAGGTGTTTTCGTTTAGTTATCAGTGTTCTAGGCTGTTTCCACTTTTGTCCCTTTTTACGTCCTTTAGTCCTTTTGAATTGAATATTTTCCCCTATAAAGTAGAAATAATAACAGTAGTTTTTCTTTTATTCATTAAAATGTGTGTTGGAAACTCTTTGGGAAACTTAAAATTCTATCACAGTGATTTCGAATTGACATTGCACACCACATTCCACTTTTATAATTTTTACAACATGCAAAGGTTTTATACCGGGGAAGTCAGATTATTATTAAAGTGATAAAAGGGCATTTGAACCATAATATAGTGCAGTAAAAGTGTCTTAATTGTTGTCTGCTAATACATGCCAATTAGAGTGGATACAAGGAAGACTGTCCCTATCCCTGAGGGACTTGCTTTGCTGAGGCAACTGCATTGTATTCAGATGGTCTGATACAGTATAGTGATGCTATGATGATGATGATGTCAGGGTTGTGGTCATGTTGTTGAATAACGTGGAAACCAGCGGGAAAGAAAATGAGCTTAAGAAGGTGTGCATAGAACATGCGCAAAGTGTCTGGAAGACCATTAACACGTGATGTGGAATGCTTTCTTTTGCAGATGAGGCAGAACTCCTCACTGTCCCTGATGGCTGGAAGGAACCAGCCTTCTGCAAAGAGGACAATCCCAGAGGGCTCTTGGAGGAAAGCAGCTTTGCAACCTTGTTCCCGAAATACAGAGAGGCTTACCTGAAGGAGTGCTGGCCTTTGGTGCAGAAAGCCTTGAATGAACATGTATGCTGGTTTTAACTCTTCTTTTCAGGTTTTACTTTTGTCTTCACTGTCAGTGAAGTTTGTGTGCACTGGTGGATTCTGGCTTCAGAGATGCTGACGTACCTGACCAGTTGCGTTTGGTTCCTTTGATATTTAAAGGAATGTAGGTAAACTGTATTCTTACAGTTCTTATTTTTAATTTTGTGCATAATAAAATACTTTGAGAAATGCCTCTGCTTTTCATAATTAAGAGGTACCTCAGACTGTCTGAAATCACTTGTGACATCTAGATTTCCAATGCCTTTTCCAGGCAGTGATGGTTACCATGTACTTGGCCAGTTTTAGCCAACCATGTTTCAAATTTCATTTTAAACAAGATCTGATCTGCTGATGTAGTGTTTCCCTATTTCCTGCTGAGAAGTCTCTGGGGCAGTGGTGTTGAAATGTTCATAATCACCATAATTCAGGATCCTTCTTGAATGTGCCAGAAAAGGGCATTTTGCTTTGCTCTGTTACAATGTAGTTCTTGGGGGCTGTTGGATATAGGTAAGTTGGTAAAGTGTTTGTAATCAAGCATTAGGACCAGAGTTCTATCCCCCAGAACTCATGTAAACAGCCAGGCGTGGGGACAAGACTTGAGACTCGTGGGCCAGACATACTAACTTAGTTGGTGAGCTCCAGGCAGTGCCTGAGGAGCACACAGGGCCTTGAGATCTGGCCCCTACATGTCATGTGCATGAATGTGCACACTCCCTCACATGTACAGAGAGATTTTTTTTTAAGACATCTGGGTTGCTATGGAGAGTCTGTTTATCTTTGTGTTTGCTTCTTCATGAAGCTGTGATCGTTTGTTCCGTATTTAGTCCCTTAACCAGGTAGAAAGAGATTTGAAAGGAAAATTCATTTCTCAGTCTTGGTTCCAGCTACTTCAGTTTCTTATCTCCTGTCAAGTATGACTTTTATCAAGTTCTCATTATTTGTATTTAACTGCCCAGCTCATTCAGTGTAGGAGTGAGAGTGAGGATTTGTTAGCTGAAGGGCAGAGAGATTGGCAGATGGGTGGGAGCAGCTCTGTACTGATAAAAGTTAAACCCACTTTTGACTCTTTTCCTTCTTTTTTGTAGCATGTTAAAGCAACACTGGACTTGATTGAGGGTAGCATGACTGTGTGTACGACGAAGAAGACCTTTGATCCTTACATCATCATTAGGGCCAGAGACCTAATTAAACTCTTGGCGAGGAGTGTTTCATTTGAACAGGTGTGTCTGGGGCCGGGTGTGTCTGTGTGTGTGCACACACATGCACGTGCATGGGTACAGCTAACTTTGTGAGCTCCAGACCAGTGAGAGGCTCTGTTCAAAAAACAAGGTGGGCCATGTCTGAGGGAAACATGGGAGCTTGTTCATCGGCCTGTAATACTGTCTTTCCGTCTTTCCATCTCTGCCCCATCCCCCTTCCTCCTTTGAGTTTTCCTGTTTGTGCCTAGAGTTTATTAGCCTGGGCTTGGAAAAGAACAATGTTGATGCTTTTTTCTTTTCTCTCCTAAAAGGCAGTACGGATACTTCAGGATGATGTTGCATGTGACATCATCAAAATCGGTTCTCTAGTGAGAAATAAAGAAAGATTTGTTAAAAGAAGACAGCGGCTTATTGGTCCCAAAGGATCTACATTGAAGGTACTTACTAGTTGTCGGTGGCGTGTGAGCATATCTGAATTGACTTTTTGTGCACTGAGCTTGAATTTGCTGTTTTGATGCAGGCATTGGAACTCCTAACAAACTGTTACGTCATGGTTCAGGGGAATACAGTTTCCGCCATTGGGCCTTTCAGTGGCCTGAAGGAGGTGAGCACGATGACCTGACATTTTCACCAGACAAAAATGAAGTGATTTGGTAGTAATATAATTGTTGGTTGGTAATGTTTTGTAATCATTTTGTATTTTTAGGATGAGGTTTGTTAGATTTCTCATTTGTAAATTGTATGCCACGTAACTTGGGCGTCATCACTCCTGCTTGATGTCATCACTCCTGAGTTAGGTTGTGCATCTCACCCATCCCATCATAAGACTTAAAAAAGGTAGTTCGCGTCTTAGTAGCTCATGTGAGAGTCCCTGGTGTCCCTACATGTGGGCAGCATTTGGAATACTGAGCAGAGGCCTCGTTCTGTAGTGATGCATGCAGCCAGTAGGGGTCAGACTCTGAAAAGTTTCCTTCAAGCCAGGTGGCTTATGCTGTAGTGTGGTCATGACTGGGTTCTGTAAGTTGTCAACTGTTTTGAGAATACCCACAGAGCACATCTTTCAGGTTCTCTTCATACAGTTCTGAGCTGGATCTGACTGTGCAGTTTGTCTCCATCCTGGAACATTTTTAGTAGTAATTCTGTTGGCCTTGTTCTCATAAATTGCCTAATCTTTTCTAATGGAACAATAAAAAATATATCAAATATTTTACGGCTTTAAAAGTTTTTGAAATTTTTATGTAATTCTTAGATCTGATGATATAGTTTTATCTCCATTTTACAGATTTAAAGATGAGATGGGAATATTAATTGACTCTTAATAATAATTTAGTATTATTTTTGCAGAGCTGCCAATCAAATAAGGCCTTGTACACGATAGACAAGTACTCTTCTACTGAGCTATAGCTCCTGTCCCAAGGTTTGAACCCTCCCCTTTTGACTCAATCTAGTTCTTTTCCTCTAAACACTACCTCTAGGGTACTGGCTAATGTGTTAGTTGTTTGTGACATTAATGAAACATTTTTTGATTGCAAAGGTTGACTCTACTCAGAACAATTGAGAAGTTATATCCAGTGTAGTGATTAGTCTCTGATCCATAGGATATTTTATACTAGGTTAGTCCTCTTCTGTCCAGTTGTTTAGAAATCATTGTGACTACTTCATTTTTTTTTCTGTAAATTTCAGGTTCGAAAAGTAGTCCTTGATACCATGAAGAACATCCATCCAATTTATAACATTAAAGTAAGTGTTGATTGTACATTATCATTCCAACTTCACAGATTGCTTTTGAAAATTAAATATTCTGTGAAAACATGTACAGAGACAGGCAGCAAAGCTATTTTGGGTGAACCAGGGTAGAATCACCATCCTTTGGTCCTTGTATCATCCTTGTATAAACTATGGAAGGAGATACTGTCTTTTAGTTGTAGTCTTCTAATGCATTCAAATATGCCTCTCAGAACTGGTTGTAGGTGATGTCAATTGGATCCTGCCTCAGGTTGCATCAAAGCTTCCTTTGAGATTTAATGCTCACATTGAAGCCCCTTTTGGGAGAGGCCTGTTGTATGCCTGTGTGTGCAGAGTCACTGATTGGGCTGGAATGCAGCTATAGGATATGGGCTGTGGTGAAAGCTCGTGGGGGACAACACAGCTGTAGGACGTGGGCTATGCTGAGAGCTTGTAGGGAATGCACTTAAACTTGATAAAGTTGAAAAGTCACTAAGATTGGGGTAAAAGTGATTTTAACTTACTGAGGCTTTCCCTCTTTGACCTCAGTTACTACTGAAGTGTCTTGCCCATGGGGCACGCCTGCTAATTAAGACCAGTTTGTTATTAAATTGAACTTTGAAATGATGGCAGGAGAACAGAGCTTCATCTTCATGTTTAATCTAGATTCTCAGTTTCTGATGTTTGGCCAACCATGGCAGTAACTTGACCATTACTTTCTGGAAGCAATGTGTTAAACATTAAATTTTAAAATTCATTTGTTATTTGCATGTATGCTCCTGAAGACCTTGATGATTAAACGGGAGTTGGCAAAAGATTCCGAGTTGCGATCACAGAGTTGGGAGAGATTTTTGCCACAGTTTAAGCACAAAAACGTGAATAAACGCAAGGAGCCGAAGAAGAAGAGTGTTAAGAAGGAGTACACGCCATTCCCTCCTCCGCAGCCTGAAAGTCAGGTTAGTGATGGGTAATTGCCAACACAGATGCTGAGCTGTTCTGGGACCTCACTGAGAGTTGAGGGTGGCTGTGGGTGTGCCTGTGTCAGGACATACGAGCTTCACAGCGAGGGGCTGGGACGCAGGCATCACCTTGTAAGGAAACTTTTGGGAGTGGTACCAGGCAGCTAGTGTTCTATAGGTAAAAGTAGCCCAGGGAGTTAACATTTTTGCTTATGTACGGTATCATTTAAAGTCTTAACTCCATCTATTTGTTTCTGCATTATTGGATCCCTTCCCTCTTTGCCTTCTTTCTGTTTCTTTCCTTTACACTCATGGCCGATTTCCATTCCTTTCCTCCCATCCTTTTTTCATGTACCTTTTTTCTTTTAGCTACAACCTCCCAGCAAAACTCAAATTTAAAGTTTAGGCCAAAACATCACAGTGAAGAAAAGTGCTATCTTTGGGTTAAAGTCACTAAAAATCCATGTCTCCAACCTCTGCTAGGCCTAACTGTGTAGCAGTCTTGTCACCTTTGAGTTCCCTCCTATACGGGGCAAATACCAGTTGGCATCCTACAGAGCTGGAATGTTTGAGGCCATCAGAAGAGTATTTCTTTGACTATCCCCTCCCCCCCAACTTAATCCATCCTTCCTGCTTGGATATGACTTGTACCTACCTGGGATCTTTCTTTCTTTGCCTGTATTGTAAAATAGTCAATGTTTACTAAGTCCTTTCTGATAGGAACTTAAACCATCTTCTGGCTACCATCTGTTCAGTCCTGAGCTTGGAGTTTCCAGGGAAAGGCCAGGGGTGGTATTAGAGTGAAGATCATAGTGAGAAAATGGGGGTGCCAGGCAGGGGCACCTATTCTGGGAAGGGGAGAAAGAGACCAGAGGGGAACCTAGAGTTGGGCCTGGGTGCCACTGTATCATGCTGTAGACTTGTACGACTTTGTGGGAAGTCCTGAAATAAGGAATTGTGGTGCTTCCGACTTTTCTCCTTTTTCTCATGATTGCTTTGGCTATTTAAGATCTGTGCTTCCTGTCAACTTTAGGATAGCTTCTTCCCATCTGTGAAGAACATCAATTGCATTGACGTTACACGTTGTGTGTAATGTGGGCATTCATCAGCACTGATTCCTCGAATCCATGAACATCGTTCTGCATTTTCAGTTTCTTTGATTAGTGTTTATATACTTTTCATTGTGCAGCTCTAATAAGATTGCTTCCAGTCCAGTCCCTGCTGGACATGTTTCCTAGGAGAGCCATAAATGTGGCCCACTGCATTGTAGATGGGGGTCATGTTGTAATATGGAAAGATTGGACACCCTTGACTTTAACTTTTCTACACCCCAATAATAAATCTAATGACTTTGTATGCTGATTTTGTATCTTTTTCCCTAAGGAGTTCATGCATCAGTTTTAATAGCGTTTTGACGGAGTCCTTACATAATTAACTAATCTGTAAACAGGTAATTTGATTTCTTGCCCAGTTGCTTTGGCTACAACCTCTGGTGCTAAGTTGAATAAAATCATTCTGAGTGGACATCTTTAGTTCTTGACCTTACAGAACAGTCTGAGTTTTCCAGTATGATGTTTACTCTGGGCTTCTCATTATAGTTTTATGTTGAATTTTATTAACTGCTTTTGCTGTATCTATTGAGATGACTATGATTTTGTGTTTCATTCTGCTTCAATGTTAACATGTGTTGATGTGTGAAGAGCCATCTTTGCAAGTATTGAATGAAAAGAGCATGATCAAAGTATTTTGTGGGTGTTAGGTTTGACTTGTTGGTCCTACATTGTGGTGTTTGTTTTTCAGGGATATTAGTGTATGGTTTTGTCATGTCTTTGGTTTTGTTCTCAGGATGATGCTGCCTGTATAGGATGATTTTGGAAAGAATTCATTTATTTGGAATGGTGTGAGAATTGACATTAGTTTTTAAAAGTTTAAAAATTCAGCAATCAAGCCATTTGGTCCTGAGCTTTTCTCTATCAGGAGACCTATTACTGACTTTTTGACAGGTCTTTAATATCTTCATTTATATTTTGTTCAGATGTCTGGAATTTTCTTTCCTTCAAATTCTGTAGTTAACGTGCAACTGTGTAATGGTTGCTAGTGAATTTCTGTGTTTAGTGAGTACTGGTTTTAATATCCCCTTTTCCTAATTGTTTATCTGTCCTCCCTTCTTGGCTAATATAGCCGTTTGGTCATCGCCCTATTGTTCCTTGGTCTTTATTTCTGTATTCTTTCTCTCCCCTGATTTTGGGTTTGATTTGTTGCTTTTTGAAGCCTTGGTGATGGCTCATTGAGTTGCTTATTTTAACTCTGTTAAGGTTGCTGTGTATTGCTGTAAGTTTCCCTCTCAGTACTGCTTCCTACAAGGCTTGCTATATTGTTTTCCACTCTTTGCAATGCAATGGGGGTCTTTCTGAAACAGGGTCTTTCTACACAGTCCTAAATGTCCTGGGATTTATTAGCTCAGGCTGACCTCCTAGGTGCTGGGATTAAAGGCATGCTCTATACCACACCCATCCTGTATTTCCTTTTATTCCAACATGTTTTTAAATATTCCGTCAGAAAATCTCCATGCACTTGAATAATTTCTAAAATGTTTGTTGCTAAATAATTACATTCTATCGGCTGGTTATTTTATTTCTCAGGCTTGTTTTGCAGCCTAATATGGCTTATTATAGAAAAACTTACTTGATGAAAATGTCTTTTGTGCGGGTTATTTGTTCATTTGGCTGTTAGTGTCTAATGGTGCCCACCTGTAATCCCACTGCTGGAGCACTTGGCCTTTGACTAGGCAGTAGTGTTGGCTTAGCCAACAGGCTGTGCCACAGGAAAGGTGTCGGGAACCTTAGGAGCCCTCTGCCACTGAGACCCCCCCCACCCCCCGCCCCAGGACTGCCCGGGGGGGGGGGGGAGGACAGTGCTGATGGAGAACAGTGCTGGAGTGCAGTAAGTTTGACTTTTCACCATAGACAGCTCAGGGTTTGACTCTAGGGCCCCTCGGTACCCGTATAGGAAGAACGGTAGCAAATACAATCATTTTTTCCTTTCTGTGACTGTGAGTGGCTTATTTTACCTTACCTGTTCGTGGATCAGTCTCCTCATGCTAAGACTTAGGACAGTGACTTTGTTTGGGTCCCCTCTCTTCATTGCTTCCTTCTTAGAACCTTAGTCTCTTTGGGCGCTAGGACCAAAGGCGTGCACACCCACAGCTGTCTCATGTCCTGTCACTGTCCATTTGTGCCATAGCTTCTTCCATTCTTTGAGTCATGTTCTACCACCTTCTTGGAGTCTCAAGTCCCACCCACTCACCCTCTTCCAAACTCACCTGATTCCTTTCACTCTTCTGAAACCCTGACTTTTGGTCCTGCCTGAATTAATGAGTTTTGTGTTTCATGAACAGCACTGTCCTATTTCCATGTTTGTGTTAGTGGCCCACTAATTAGAGTATTGATTCCACACTTTTTACCCCAGCACACCATGGCTTCTTAGATCAGAAATAATGTAGATAAAGGGAATTGCCTAACTGTGAATACTGTTTCTAATAGATCGACAAGGAGTTGGCTAGTGGCGAATACTTTCTGAAGGCCAATCAGAAGAAGCGGCAGAAAATGGAAGCGATCAAGGTAAGGCCAGTAACATTACTCACAACATTCACAGCAAGTTTGCTACCACTCGTGCTTACTAAGGTGTTTCTCACTGGCCTAGGCCAAGCAAGCAGAAGCTCTTACAAAGAAGCAGGAAGAAAGAAACAAGGCATTCATCCCGCCTAAAGAAAAGCCAGCCATGAAGCCAAAGCCCGGTAAGTAACCTGAGTGCCTATCTGTCTCACCCTAAAAACCCCTGTGGTTTCATCAGCTCAATCCTAGGCAGAAGTAAGCAAGGGTGGCTTCAGGGTCCTGCCCCACAGCCTCTGCCCTGTGCTGCCCCCTGCTGGGTTTAGGTACTTCACTGGAAAGATGTAAACCCAGAGCCAGCTGTGTTAATCATACTTCACCTTAACAGGAACGGTGACACTTGTCAGAGCAATCATCCAAAGGCAACATTGACACATGGGGGTGGGGGTTAAAGTAAATTGCAGTTGTTAAGTACTTGGGTAGCTCCACTAATGATGTTGCCTCAGAGTGGAGGTTGAAAACGTCTGTACCTCCAGTGTCTGGACTTTTATGGTTTGAAAACCATACCTTTATAAGAAAGTTACATCATTTTAAAATTTTCTTATTTAGATTTAGCTTTTTGACACCAATAAGATAGTTTGGCCTGTTAAGATCACCACATGCTCTCACATTAAAATAAGCCTAGTTAGGACCATACCTAATACTTTCTTGGAAAGTAATTTTAAATTTTTTGGGTACTAGGTAGGAAATTGGCTTCCTAATGAATATTCTTAAAAGAGTTGACTATAATTGAATATAATATGTCATTTATTTCTATCAAAAACTTAGAAGTCCAGCTTCTAAAAGTTAAAAAAGGAACCACAAGTAAGCAAAGGAACTAAATCTGAGGGGAGAAAGGAATTGACTGACACCCAATTATTCTTCTGCATGTTCTTTATTTCCCCCCAGTCCTTGGGGTTACCTACACATCTATCTTTGCAACAGTAATTTTTTTACAATACCGTGTGAGGCTTGAAGTTTCCCAGGGTCAGCAAAGCAGATAAGATTTACTCATAGAGCAATAAACTAAACTAAAACTGCTAAGAGAAAAAACACTTAGCATCAGTTACTTAGGGCTGTGGGCTAATTTGCACAAGAAACAAAACCTGGCTGTGGGCTAATTTGCACAAGAAACAAAACCTGGCAGCATAGGCCTTCAGGAAAGTTTACCCTCAACCCCCCCCCACGAGCAAAATAGGCTGATTACCTTTGTCTTCTAAGGGGAAACAGGAGGGAGCAGTCAATCTCCAAGCTAAAGTTTATATTTTAGTACAGGGTTAGTTTATTGCTTCTCTGTCAAAAGGTAAAGCCAAGGCCATGCTTATTTTTTTCTATCCATCTAGGCAGCTGTGAATCAGATTGGGCATGTAGTAATTCTCAGATGGAATGTTTTTGTCTGGGTGGTGAACTGACCAAATGCCTGTCAATAGAGGTAATTTCAGGAAGGCAGATCTCTGCAATGGAGAGGGAAACAGGCCTCACACATAGCTAAGGAATATAATCAGTAAAACTCCAATTGCATGGGAGAAATTTGTTCCCAGTAAATGATCAGAGTGCTAAACTGTGGGGAGTAAATCCCAAGTTTGTTAGAGCAAGACACAGCCAATCCATTCATGAGATTATAAAGCCAGGCACAGCTTTGTACTGGTTTCATCCCTCAGAAGAATCCTTAATTCTAAGATTTGAAGGCTGTATACAAATATACATGTGTGTGTGTGTGTGTGTGTGTGTATATATATATATATATATATATATATATAATTACACATGAAATGTGAAGGCACATTTCATCTCTTGTTTAAAGTTCTCTTTTAAATTGTTAAACATTTATTTGAAATTTGCATATTTTTTATAAAATTCTGCAGCTACTACTGAAACGAAGATTGATGTGGCAGCTATCAAGGAAAAGGTTAAGAAAGCAAAGACCAAGAAACTGGGCGCTCTTACAGCAGAGGAGGTTAAGCTTAAGATGGAAGTCGACGAAAAGAAGCAGAAGAGAAAAAAGTAACATTGGGAAAAGTCTGTACCTGAACTTTTTGGAAGGTGTTTCCTTTTGTAAAGGATTTTGAGATGGGTTTATAGCTGCCTCACCTGGAAGTAGTCTTCTCAGAAGCTCATGGCCAGAGTTTTGTCTGTTCATGGACATATCCTATGTAAATACTCTATTCAGTCCGAGGCAGGTTTTGTCTACACATCATTTTAGGAATACCTTTTAAATTATATAGATTTTTGAAACGAGATTATAAAAATACCCGAAGTGTTTGGTTTTAAGGGAAACAAATACAAATTTTCCACTGCTAATAGCAACTATTTGTCATTTTTTTCCCAGAGTAAAACAACCCACAAACAGAAAAACCAAGACTCTATATCAAATCTCTCAGTCCCTACTATTCTAACTAAGGAAATGGTACCAGAAAAATGGCTATAGGTGTCTAACCTCATGCGCACTGAGGCCAGAAGAGGACACTGGATCCCCTGGAGTAGAAGCCATGTGGGTGCTGGGAAACAAACACAGGCCCTATACAAGAGTAGCAAGTGTTCTTAACCTCATAAAGCAGATATTACTCTTTGTAGTTCTAAAGCGTCATTGAAACATTTTTCTCAAACATTTTACCAAAGCCACTTATGAATAAGGTCCCCCCCCCCCAACGATGGCATTAGCCCAAAAAAACTAAATTAGGGTATTTGTGCTTTACCAAAATGGTAACAATAACAGACAGTAACACAAGTACTGCCTTAACAATGAGAAAGAGAGATGTGTATCTGTTGCGTAGATAGATGGGTCTTCCTGGGTAGTTACCAGAGTAGTAACCTGTGAAACAAATAGTGTGCTTTTAGAGTTTCTCATGGGGTGCCGGCCCAGTCCCCAACCCAGTCCATACAGGTCCCAGCCAAACAGTTTTAGGTTTGCATACATACGTGAGGTGTGGTCTCTTTGTGGGTTAACTGTAAAACCAGAAGTAAAAAAAGAAATTAGTTTTTTTTTTTTTAATTGTATCCTTGTAACCATGAACTTGATTTTACTTTATTAAATACAGACATTTAAAAGAAATTGGCCCCCAGTGGGAGTGGCATGATTAGGAAGGGGGTGGGCTTTGAGGTCTCCTGTGGCCACCAGATCAAGATGTAGCCAGCACCATGTCTGCCTTCATGCCACCATGATAACAGACTACTACTCAACCTCTGAAACCGAGCAGGCCCAAGTAAATGCTTTTCTTATAGACTTGAGGGTCATGGTGTCTCACAACAATAGAAACCCTAATCAAGACAACTTAAGTTTTCCAGTCTTTTTATAGGAACTCAATATGTGAATTTTTTTACTCTGCCAGTTAATGGAACAATTGTTTGATACGCTACAACCACCAGATGAATCTTCTGTTGAGCTATGGTTTGTTTTGAATAACAGACTATTTCCTAAGTTCCTCCCCTAAGGAGAAAGGTGGATACTGGTTATGAAGAAATGAGAAAGGAGACAGCAGTCTCCTGTCCAGCGTGACTAGGCATGTGACTTTTCAAAAGTCCTAGTGTCTGTCCCAAAGCTTCAGATTTTGATACTCAGCACGGGGCAAGAAAATGCCTCAGTCGCACACACATGGACCTCCATTGAATGTCCGCGGTCATCTCTGGTCAGCATGCCCGAGCCCCCTTGACAGTTACACAGGGGAAAAACTAGAAAATTCATGGGTGTATCTGCAGAGTCGTCAGTCTACATTCAACTACAGAAACCAATGGACATCCAGAAACCAATGGACATCCACGCACTATCTAAAGCCACCTTATGTGCCGTGTGTATGTCCAGGCATTTACAGAGCAGTTTGTATCATTCGCTGCACAGAGCAGCATTAATCAAAACAGTAGACAATGGTGGAACTTCGTTTCATTATCTCTGTACTATATACTTTGTCAGTTAGGTTTTGTTAAATAAAAGCTTTGATCTTACAGTTCTCACCCTTACAGTAAAAGGTGGGGTGTCTTGTTTTGTTTTTTTCACGTGGAAACACTTATTCAGCATTGGTAAAGAAGTATGTTTTCTAACAGGTCAGCATTTATATTTGAAAAGTGTATAAATTGAGTTTTGCACATAGAAAAAAATTAGTGACAACCCAAAGATTGAGTCATCTAAAGTAAATGGTCTCGTATGAATCACATGTGTGTGTCTTTCTCATTTGAGTTCAGAGGTTTTCATTATTGAACTATAGCCTCAGGTTTGGCAAGTATAGACACCACCTCAAGTTAGACCTCTGAAGGTTCTAATACCAGTAGCATTTTTGTATCGTGGCAGATAGTGACAGTTCATTGGATGCCTACACTCCCTCTGAGGTGCCAATGTTGAATGTTTTAGTGTTGAGGAAACGGGTACAGAGCCATGGCCAGGGGCTCAGAGCTAGAACTGTATGTTAATTAGGCTAGCACTTTAGCGCCTTGGTTCTGAGAAGAAATGACTGCACATGGTGCAAGTTACTGGGTTTCCTGATGAGGCTGCCATGTAGGAGTAAAAAAACAAAAAGATGCATTGGGAGAAAAATCGGTCTCACCAATTTCATACCTGAAAAGTTTAGTGTTTACATGGGGAGTGGGGGAGTGATTTACTGGAAGGGGCCTTGGGAATCGTGTATACAACACACTGCCTAACCAGTTTCCTACGGTGAAGCTTGGACGACTATCCCGCTCCCTCCTAAACACTCGTGTATCCGTGAGGCACCAAAGAACAAAAGCCGTAACTGCTTTGGCTCCAGGTTCCCTTCATACCATGAGAAAACAGACATCTTAAAGACATTGAAATGAACATCAAAAACTCAGGCAAGCTTATTCTTGGCCCTAGAACAGTGCATGGTTAAGAACAGTTACAGCTCTCTAGAAAACAGCTCTACCTCAATTCTATGGAAAGTTTGTTATACTTACTGCAGAGTTTGTTGAGACAACTGTCACCTTTTGGGCATTCACTGCAAGTGGGTCCTTGCTTATACGGCCACGTTGGGTAGTTCCCTCTGTAGAACAGAAGACTTGTTAGAGGCCCCAACATAATTGGGCTTGACCACGTCTAGAATAACAAGATGGATGAAGATTCAGAAGGCTAATAAAATGCAAAGGGATGGAAGCAAGGGGAAGGGAGGGTTCATGTTATTTCTTTGTGTCTATGAACTTTGTATAATTTATACCATCTCATTTAACTATGATAATTCTGAGGATGAATTATTTGTTTCTGTTTAGCAGATGAAGAAACTGAAGATCTGGTAGATTAATAACTAGCCAAAGATCTCAATTTACATATCTGAGTCAGGAAGAAATCTAGAAATGTCTTATGTTGGGCTTTTCTACTTAACCCTATATGATTACTTCCATGCAAACACTGCCTATCCTAGAAAAACAATTAGACTCTATGTATATATTTTTTAATGGACCAGGTCACCATAGTTTTTTACAAGATACAGTATTGGGCTGGGGTAATGACCTCCAAAAGAAAAAGATGAGAAAATTAGAGACAATCCATTTGCATATAAAAATGTGATATGAATAGTAACTGATAATTACTTGTAATAAAAGATCTAAGGGGATGGGGCAAGCTCAGTAAATTGACTGCCATGCAGAGACCCCCATGTTCCTTCCCTAACTCCTACTAAAACTGCTTGAACTTCCAGCTTTGGGGAGTCAGGTCTGTGGGTCTCTGGAACTCACTAGCTGGCCAGCCTAGCCTCATCAGTGAGCCCCAGCTCCCAGTAATATCTCAAACAAGTGTGTGTGTGTGTGTGTGTGTGTGTGTGTGTGTGTGTGTGTGTGTGTGTGTTGTGTATGGGGGATAGGGACTGGAGAGATGGTTCAGTTATTATAAGGCCCTGCTCTTTCAGAGGATGTGGGTTCAGTTCTCAGCACCTATATGTTGGCTCATGCAACAATCCCAAGACTCCTGACCTTGGGTTCTAAGGATCTGACACCCTCTTCTGACCTCTGAAGGCACCAGGTACATATGTGGTACACATAAACATGCAAGTAAAACACTCAAACACATGAACAAATCTTTAAAAAAAACATGCATACCAACACATACATGTGAACTGTACACATGTGCGTCTACACCCCACCCCACAAAATAAGATCTATCAGGGGTTCAAATAATAGTTTCAAAGTTGGCCTGAGCTGATGGGAGATGTCATTCTGTAAATTTGTTTCTCGTATGGGTTAATGAATAAAGCACTGTTGGCCAATAGGAAAGGAAGATAGGAGGGACGAGGAGACTAGGAGGAAGAGGAAGTAGGAAGGAGATCCAAGATGGAGGACTGAGAGTAGAAGCCCAGCCCTTCTCTCCAGTAAGATGAGACTATGTGGAAACAGGTTAACAGAAATGAGTTAATATTTAAGACAGAGCTAGCCAACAAGTAACTGGCCAACAGAATTCTAATACAGAGTCTCTGTGTAGTATTTGGGGCTGGCGTGGGGGTGGGGCCAGGCCTGCAGGGAAACCCTTACTCATAACATAATGGCATCCAACTCAGACCGAAGAACCTCCACTTAGAACTTAAAAGCTTAAAGGGTTTTAGAAACAATAGAAAAGCAAGGTTTCTAGGTAACAGCATTTTTCTCAGACTTGAAAGGATGAAATTACAGCCTAACTCTAATGACCACTAAAAGTTAGAAATTTAGAAAAAGTCCATTAGCATGTATTTAAAAATCACCCTCGCTGCATGCAAAGCTCAAAAAACAAAAAACAAAAACACATCAAATAGCTTGGTCACGATGACCGGTTTCTGGAAATTCCTAACCACCTAGTTTCTGAAGAATGTTATCCATAACAACAGTCTGGGAATTGTTATGGGTCATCCTGGCTACAAAGAAAATTAATAACTAAAAGAGACAGGACTCATGGCAAGAAGGGAAAACTAGAAAGAACAAGTGCCTCTGCCAATAGATACAGATAACTCCCTGGCTGGAGAGTATATTCTCCCTGCCCCCCCCCCCATTATCTTAAGGACAAGGCCACTGAGCCCACTGGTCCTAGAGAAAGAAAACCCCCTAACCTTGCCAGTGTGCTAAACAATCCCGTCTTATAAAAAATGTGTACTCTATGACATCTCTAACCTAGGAAACCTTATTAACCATCCAAGTTTGGAACTGTCCCATGACCTTGCTTTTAGGCCTAGTGAAAATAACAGGCTAGCTTTGAAACTGGCCTTGTTAGCTATCTTAAGTCTGCCCTTGGGGTCCTCAGTCCTCTACCCTGCGTGACATATGACTGTGAACCCCAATGCACTTGGAATAAAAAATCCTCATTCTATTTGCATTGAGACCGCTTCTTGTGAATTATTTGGGGTGTCACCTTTCCTGAGTGGGAGCCTAAAGGTCCATGCTCTGCAGGTCTTTCAGACTATTTTACTAGAGACAGAGACTTGTGTGGCTTCTTTAAGGGAGATTTCCTGACTCAGCATAAGCGGCAAAAAACCTCAAGGCTTTTAAAGAGCTCTGCTAACAACTGAATGGTGGGTATGAGAGCTGGCAATGACAGTGACCACATCTCCAAGCCTGCAATGTGCTGCTGGATGGCAGCATAGACCAAGGCATTGAGCATAGCTCTCAGTTCCGGCGGTAAAGGTACCCACTGCTATCTTTGATAGATCATGGCTAAAACAGCTGTGGGTTTCATTTCAGCAATGTTTAGCAGATGTAAGACTCGTGGCCAGAAAAGATAAATATTTACAGTAAAGACAGATTCAGATTAAGAAAAACCTCTAAAGCTTTACAGTGTGTTTTAAAATACATGTAGGTTTGGGAGAGAAAAACAGGATACAATGGTTTAAAAAAGACAGTAGCTAGGCATGATGGCATACACCTTTAATTCTAGCACTTGGGAGACAGAGTCAAGCAGATCTGATTTCAAAGTAAACCTGGCATACAGGGTTAATTCCAGACAGATAAGTTACATAGAGAAACCCTATTTCAAAGTATGAAAAAATAGAAGTAGAAGAAATAGAGTAATAAAAAAGCCACGCAAAGATGGAATCTGGATACTGTATGGTAATATATTGTCTGTGTATCGTTTGGCTGCTGAAGAAATAACTGTTAAAAGAAATGCTGCTGGATTAATTCAACTTATATATTTTTAAAATTGCTCTGACTTCAAAATTTAAGTTCAAGGACAGGTTACTGGGGAAAAAGCATTTCTATTTTTGTTTCCATAGAAAATAAAAAGTTGTGGATTCCTTCTAGTCTAATGTGGTTTGATCAAGCAAGACCCCCTGAAACAATGTCCCAGGTGATCCTACATTCAAAATTGCTGGGACAAGGCAGCCTTGCAGACCACTACAGCCAGGATTTCTTAGGATTCCCATGACAGTGCCCCCCTACCAGCAGGAAGCAGTTTGGAAAGAAAGACACCCTAATTCCCAAATATTACTTATGTTTGTTTTCATTTAAATGGGGTTGGTTATAACTGGTTAATGACCACAACCAATCTTTTTAAAGGTAAAAAGAATTATGGTATAGAAATGAATACTTTGTTTTGGAATGGGTTTTCATTTATTGATAGAAATTTAAGGTCAATTTTGTGATATGTATATTTCTCCTCTTGTATTGTGTTTATATAGCTCATTTAAAAATGTATAACTTAGTACAGACTATAGTTAACTATAATAGTCAAAACTTATAGTTAGGATTTCTAGATATACAGAGATGTATTTGATATAAATAGGCATTCTTCAAACCTTTCATAGACCTACAGAATATGGCATTTAAAATGGTTTAGGGTTTTTCTTAACAATGAGGCACAACTGCTCCTGGCAACACCACCTGCATCAGAAAGGAAGATGGGCATTGAAAACTATGAAGTTTGCTTCCAATATAGCAAGACTAGCTATTTGGGCAAGATACTGCTTATCTGGATTGTTTGACTTTATGCAGGACCCACAGAAAAGTGACTGCTGATACAAGATGGACATTTCTACAGGGTTCCTGCTTCATGAAAGAGTCTGCCAGACAGTCTGCAGGACACAGACAAAAGTGACAGACAAACTGCCAATACAAGAAGACAGTTTAATGTTTCCTACTTTGCTGAAGAGTCTGCCAGACCACACTATGGCCTACAGGCTGAAGATGGAACATTACAGAAGAACTTCGGGTAACTGACCAGGAGAGATGTCTCATTTCTTGAGTTCCTTTTGAAGTCTTTGAGGGAGTTTAAGACAAATAGCTATGGCTATAGTTTTCCTTAGTTAGGATTAAAGAAAAGTTACATAGACTTTTGTAGAGAGCCACCGGTGCCATTCCCGAAGATGGCGCCGGTTTCCTGTCCATAAGCCAGCAAGGCGCAGATGCGCGATCCACGTCATGGGGTGACCGTTACGAGCGTTGCGGGCTGCACCTGTCAGTAATGGACACGACTCCTCTGAGCATATATAAGCAGAGCCCTTTTTCCTCCTCGGGGGTCTTCCCTCAACTTGCTGTAATGAGCCGCGCAATAAACATAGCTGCAGAAGAATCCTGTTGTTGAGCGTCGTTCTTGCAGGCAAGGCGATAGCACTCGACAGACTTTAGACACACAAAGATAGAATATTTTCTTTAAATCTTACTAAATGTTAAGGAACTAAATAGTAACTGATTCTTATTTGATAACTGCTGTGTGGTATATTTTGCTATGCTAAGATTAAAACCCTTTTCATTTAGACCGAAAAGAGGAGATGATGGGGAATATCATTCTGTAAATATGTTTCTTGTATTGGTTAATGAATAATGCACTGTTGGCAAATAGGAAAGGAAGATAGGCAGGACGAGGAGACTAGGAGAGGGAGGAAGTAGTAGGGAGGAGACCCAAGATGGAGGATGGAGAGAGAAGAATGCCAGCCCCTCTCTCTGGTAAGATAAGACAATGTGGAAGTACTTAGATGAATAGAAACGGGTTGATAATGAAGACAGAGGAAGCCAGTAAGAAACTAGTAATTGGCCTACAGCTTTATATCTAATACAGCTTCTCTGTGTGTTATTTGGGGCTGGCACCACAGAG